GCGCTCGGAGACATATTGGGGCCACTTTTTCAAAGCTGTCTCTATGGGAGTTTCCCAACTGAGTGTTTTAGTAACGTTGGCTGTATGTTTTACTTCTTTCTTTTTCGAAGAGCACTAAAAAATAACCAGTTACTATAAAAACAAAATTCCCATATTAAAAGGCTTTTCAGACGTGGAGCATCGTACAAGAAAATACGCTCGTTGAAACAATAAAAAATCTTAATTTAATAAATAAATTCGTAGTTATTACGGTATTTTTTCGTAAGCGCTTTCATTTATACGTATATTTATGTAAGAAAAGCTAGTTTTTTTTTTAAAATAATAAATGCAAAAGCGATAGGAAGTACCGTAGAAACAATAAGGCGGAAATATTTTCTTTTTTTTTTCCTCCGTTTTGAATGTCGTCCTTGAACCGACGACGACAATGGCGTTGACGTGCTCACGTAATTCTCAATCTCAAATCCCGCGATTTATTTTTAGCGGAAACGTTATTTCGAATATCAAGTCTTGTTCTTTTTTTCTACTTTCTACACATCTCTACTCTCTATCTATGTATTTCTACCTATCCCAGTAATTGGCGCTTCCGAGTTTTCGTTGGAGTAGCAGAAGTAAGGGCATATTTTTGGAGGCGCGCTATTCGATCTAATGCCGCGATATTGCGCCGGCGTTCGTGTCGGCATACGCCGCCATAACGTTAGCTGCGGAACGATAATAAATACTCGAACGCTTTCCAGCGCCAAAACTTCGACGCCAGCGGTCGACGTTCGAACGCATTCAAAGAGTGAGTATAGACAAAGGCAGCTGCTAGCTTTGCATCTATCGAATGGTCATTCCAGGCAAATTGTTCGACTCTCTTGCGACCCCCCCCCCCCCCCTCGCTCTCGCCTATCACTATCTCTCAGTCTCTACATGTTTAGGGTCGTTTCATAAAATAGAAAATTATCAAACCAAATAAAACGAGAAAAAAAAAAGGTCTATCTGTACATATGATGTAACCGGCGCCATTGATAAAGCAGCCAAGCTTTCCATAGCCTTCATTCATCCTTTCTCTTTCCTCGTAACTTTATGTACTTCTGCAGGAAAATCAGCGGCTTTCGTATAAACCGGAATTACGAGGAAAGAAAGTGCACGAGACGGCACAATGGATGTTTACAAATTTCCGGACGTTCCTCTCCAAGCAATGATCACTCCCCGTCTCCATTTTCAAATGAAATTTTTTTTGTCTCTTCTTTTTTGTTGCTCGTTGTTTGTTTCATTTTTTTTGTTTTTTTTTTGTCCGGGCTGCGGATTCTATTACACGTAGAAAAATAATGACTGCTAATGTATCTCTCCCTCGCAAAAACGAAACGAACAGCGACGTTTTGCGAGCGTCGGAGAGCGCCTGCAAAAACCACGAATGTATATCTATGCAAAGCGGGTCTAACGACTCCGCCGGAGCTCGCTAAACAAATGAGCGCAGTTCCGACTCGAGTGCCCGCAATGTTTCACGTTTCATCATCGCCGACGGCCTTTCCGGTTTTCGTTGATGTTCTCTATATTTTTCTTCGTTTTAGGGTTGTTCGATTTGTCAGCTTCCTTCACTTTGTTTCGCGTGTGCGTCGGATCTGTGCCGTGTGTTATACGAGAGAGGAAGCCACTGCCTTCCTTTGTGATCCAAGCAAAGTTTTCTTTTTTTGCTTTCAGTCGTCCATTCGTGCCTTCCGACTGTAGCCGTGAACTATTTAAAGAGTTGTACTACGGTTACCGACAGCTCAAGAAATATGGGGAGAGGTTTAATTATTATTTTCAGGCTTCTCGTTACGTGATTGGTCTCTCAGGCATTCATATCGGACAATGCCTCAATCTTATTGGCTGTGAAGACCGATATTGAAATGTCCGGGACCTGTCATGCCCCGCTTTTGTTAAGCTGCCAATGCCTATACAAATGCTTAAAATATAAGGTTCGCACTTAGGTATTTTTTTACTGTTTCACTGATAACGAAAAAAAAAAAAAGAATTTCGAAATGGGAGCGCTTTTGCACAGATATAGGTGCGCGCGAACGTCCGCGTGCACAAACAGACTCACGCTCATAATCGCGCGTACGCACGCACACCTACGATTTTTTGTTCTCGATTTAGTCTGTCTAACAACACGGGTTGATTAGGACAATGTACACGAACGTTTCTCCACAGTGTCCTTTCTCTCAGTTTTTTTTTAAATTCAGCCTAATTTTGTATGCCTTGTACAAGGTCGTGCTTAGTGCAGAGAGACGGAAGCAAAATGCGGAAAATTACGACAGAAAAAAAATTGTTATTATATGAAACTTTGTTCTACAGAAGAACGTAAACAAACAAAACATTTTTATATGTTTTTCTTTCCTTTTGACGACGACGCCCTTTGCGCGAGTTCTATAAAAACATAGGTGCGCAAATGGGAGTCTTAATTACTCATTTTTTTATTGAAAACTGGAGTAGGGGTGGTGGAAACTGATATCACGGAAACTAATTTGCGTGCTCGATTTTTTTACGTGAACCTTCCGGAGAACGCATGGACGTTCCAAGGAGAACACTCACTTAACATATCAGCATGCGCTACGTAAATGCTAATTCTTCTGAAAGAAAAGCACGCTCTCAAGGATTTGCTGCCTTGTCATGGGAGCATAGAGGGTTCAGCCGTGCTCGCCGTAAGGCCCATCGTCTTTCGTCACTGAGGTTGTCAAGTTACGACATTTCGCTCCGAGCGAGCACGATGTACGATTTTACTGAGTCACCGTCGTCGCTTCGCTCAAGCAAGGCTCCGCGAAAATTTTGAGTGTCCGTTATCAGGAGCGGGAACATGAACAGAGATATTTTCGACCAAAAACAATATAAAAATATATCCCCCCCCCAGCGAATTCAAATCAATCTATACAAGTTTATTATTGTATTCGATAAATGGTTTTACCTATGACCTCATATAAAAAATTAAACGCTTTTCAAAGCGCTCTTCTTTCCGTGCAAATGTCAAACTCGATGGGCCTTAGAGACACGCTCCTTCGTTTAGGAGTCAAGTCATGGAATTCGCGCGAACCGAGAATAACAACAACAAACGTAACACGTGATACGGACTGCTCACCGATGACTCGCAAGAACATGGATCCGACAGCGGTGTTGCCCTTCTTGTTGCTCACGGCGCACTCGTACCAGCCCTGGTCCGACTGGCTAACGTGCACGATGTGCAGGGACCCGTTGTCGCTGGACACGAGTCGAGAAGACGGCCGCAGTCCCTCGTTGTCTGCCCAGGTGCCGACAAAGTGAGCGAAAAAAGGTCCATATTAGGCATGCTATACTTTTTCGGGATAGTCTATAGAAGTTTCCAAGAAAATGGGCTCCTAGCCGGTTTCATTTTCAGTTTGTGTGCGTTTGGTGCCTGATTTGCTCGATTCGCGGAGCGACGAACGTGCCCGTTGTTGGGCTGAGGAGATCGCGCGCATTTCTGAGGACTCGTAAATATCGGAATGGTGCACATAGTTGTAATACGGGGATCCTTGTCCGAATAGGCTATAGCGTAGACAGCGTAGGCTAGCACACACCAGTGGCCCTAATCTGGACACTAGGCGAGAAACTCGGCGAGAAATCTAGCGGGCGTGATTGGCCAACGCCGCACTTGACCTTGGCGCCGGCCAATCAGAGCCGCGGGATTTCTCGCCGACTTTTTCGCCAAGTGTCCAGATTAGGGCCCCAGCTCGGAGCACGTGGAGCGAAAGCTCGCCCTGCAGAACCCAGGGGTCCTGGGTTCAATCCCTACCCCTGGCCATTTTGATCTGGATGAGCATCTTACAGGCGTGCGCTTGTGTGTCACTGCTGCGTGATGCACGTTAAGACCCAGGCTAGCGGCTTGTTCTACACTGTCTAAGTTGCTCATACCGCTAAGACACCAGACGCCCGTTGGGGCTAATGAATTTCAGGTTGTATAAACATACGCATAGTGCAATTGATATAATATTCTCATAAGTAATATGCTTCGATCCGCGTAAAGGAAAGGTTTTATGTTTAACCATCTTTGTCTGTTTTGTTTCCTTAAAGACGATGATCGCCCTTTAAAGAAGACTGCGGTTGTGTAAAACATGTAAAAAACCCTATAATGAAGCGAGAGAAGGTACGTGTTTTTTGGCGCCGTTCGCCGGCCCCAGTATTTATTTCACTTATTGCTTTGGCGACCAATTCTAGCTGTAAACTGAAAGGCTTCGTCAGTATGAAGGAGGCCATGGTGTCATATAGGGAAATTCAACAATTACGCAGCGTGATCAGACATTTAAAGACAGAATGTAACACAGAAACTTATCTCTTCGTCGTCACGTTTCACACACTACTGAGAACGCTCGCTCTCGAGACAGTTCTCAAATCGTATTTAGTACGTGCAAAACAAAATGATCGAATATGATCTCTTTAATAGAAAGCTAAAGAGGTTCTCGAAAAATAAAACTAGTTAGAGTTGAATATGGATATATTCATTATTATATTATTATATATTATTCGTTGAATATGGATATCACGGTTGGTTTCCACGAAGATGTGTTTAAACGGGAGAAAACACTTCGGCCAGTCGTTAAGTTATAAAAGGTTCTCTTGTCCGCCAAGTGTGTGTCACTCGCGTGGGCAGCGCATGCAGTTGAGGTACATCCCCCCCCCCCCCCCCTCTGACACCAGAGGTGACGTTTTTTTCTCACTTTTTTTGAAAACAGCGAGAGTGCGCGTGCCTAGCTTTGATAGGCGCTGAAGATGCGGGACAGCGGAACACCTTTAATGACGTAACGCTCCGGGAAGGTGAGTCTTCAGCGTTATTTAAAAAAAAATATATATATACAGTTCTGCAGCTTTTGTGCACAACATTTAAAACAATATTCGATCCATACTCGTGGTCCTGGATGCCAAATGAAGACAACTTAAGTATGTTTACTCAAATACAGAACCGCTTCAGCTTCTCCCAAAGTGGAAAGGTCGTCATGCGCGGTCTCGTAGCACGAAGTGACGGTTCCCACCTTTCTTCCAGGAGATGAGTGTAATGGGGTACCCCGAGGCCGCACACTGCATCCGCGCATCGGAGCCGCTCACGTGGGTCACGTTGTCCATGCGGTGCACGAACGGCGGGCCGTACACCGACAGCCGGGCCGTGTGCTCCACCGAGGCCAGCTCGTTCTCGGCCCGGCAGCTGTACACGCCGCCGTGCTCCGTCGCCAGGGAACTCACGTTCACGAAGCTCGTCACAACGCCGGAAGCGTCCACAAAATCGCCTGTAGGTGTAGTGTAGGAAGAGAGGAAATGGGGAAGCAGTCACCACACTCGAGAAGGGTAGCTCGCTGCCGTAATGAAAATCAATTGCTGGGATAGTTGGGTAAACATTATATATACTATAGCGCGAGAGGACAGGAACATGAAAGGACATCCCTTTGTTCGCCGACACCATAGTTCTAAACCGTTCCCGCAACCGGATGTTCAGAGAGCTTTATGAGCCAAAACTATGAGGGCTCAGGGTAAGTTTTTCTGCCCTTGCTTTTTCGTTTATCTGAATTGTATTAATATTTTTGTTTGCCATTTTTTTACTATTTTTGAATATTTGTGGATTTTAAAATGTTTATAATCTAATAATTTAGTTTAGTTGATTTTGTGTCAATTGTCATCTCTTTTTCTTGTATTTGTTATTAAAAAAAAGAGATAGAAAGAAAAGAGAGGGAAGCCAAGGAGTACCCTCGACTGGCTACTCCGTTAGAGAATAGGAAAAAGGATAAATAAGTGTCAGAAGAAGAGCCGGAGGGGAGAGGAAGAAGTGGGATGGCATTTTTGGGCGTAAACGCCCACGCACATTCTCAAGTGGCGACGTCTCTTAGTGTGCAGTCTGTCGGGACGCTTTCATTGCCGCAAAAGAACACACTAGCATTCATAATCATAACAAGTCCCGGTCACAGATATATTCATAGTCCCAAATATTCACAGTGTGGCTACTGTCACGAGTATTGTTAGCATAAAGAAAAAATTAAACGTTTACAATTCTTTGTAATGCCGAATTAGAGCGCAGATCTTGAGGAGGACGGGGAGGGGGGGGGGGGGTACAAAAGCCCGTACTCTTCCCTCCGTACCCTTCTTTCTTCCTCACCTGCTGCACTCTCATTTAGCGGGAAATTTCCTCTAAATTTCCAGCTAAACTTAGCAAAAATTTCTCCGCCTAATTTAGCGGTATAATATTCCCGCTAAGTTTAGCTGGGAAATTTAACCAAAGTATTCCCGCTAAATTTAGAGGGGAAACTGATTTGGTTTTGAGGTCGCGTTACGTCAATTTCCCCGCTAAATATATTGGGGAAGCTTAACCCGCTAAATTTAGCCGTGAAACTTAGCTGGAAAATTTCCTACAATGCAACGCGCGAGGTTACGCCGACGCTGACGGCCACGACTCTCAACCCGGAAACGGACGCCTAAGAGCTGCGCTCTAAAATTACTGTGGCAGGCTTCAAAGCTAAAATCTCCTTCCAAACATCACATTCCATGCTTCGTCCTCGTCTTGCTCTATAAAGTACCAATTCTGAGTAGCGCTTGTCCTGGCGCCTGCCTTCCGTGTTTCCGTCCTCCTGCGCTATTGTACACTCTTAAGAAATGCCCGCAGGTGTATTCACCCGCAAAACGCTCAAAGAGCCAATCTCTGCGATCTACGAAATCAGCTCAACGAGTGATGAGGCAGAACATCCGTTTAGATCTAAAAGTTAAGTCTGCGCTGTGGCATTTCCCAATGCAAAGCATGAAGCTTTGCATTGCGCAATGCCACATTGCGGCAGACCTCATTTTGTGGTCTAAACAGAAGTTTCGACTCCTCATTTGCTGAGCTGATTTCGTAGATCGCAAGACTGGCTCTTCGAATGTTTTGCGGGTAAGTACGCGCGCATGCAATTCTTAGAGTGTATATACGCGGCAGTAAGTCACAGATGAAACCAATAAACACTTTGAATTGATGTGATTATTTTTACGAGAAATAAAGTCGCCGAGACTGCATCATTTGAACTTAATTTCTGAACTACCTCCAAAAGGTTAGGGTACGTTTATTTTTTTTATTTTTGTTTAAAAATAAAAGTAAATACAGGACGACAGTTAAAACTGCTTATGTTAAGGAACGCGAACGTCACGCAGTGGGGGAGAGTGACGTCACGCTGCCCCCACTGCGCAGGTGCGGCAAACCCTGCCGGCTCCACGGCTCCCGTGACGAAGCACCTGCGTTGCTGCGCTTTTCTTTGTGTTTTCTTTTTTTTTTGGAGGCGCGTCCACCTTAACCTTGAGCGCCCCGCCGACTTCCGGGACGAAGCAGCTGGTATGACGCGTCGCAGCCGGTAAGAACGCGTCGCAGAAATTTTAACTGCCGTTTATTTAGATGCCTGCTTTTTGTGGCCACAGCCAACGCCTTGTGCGCTCCATGGGACAGTTAATGCTCCCGCATGAATACAAAATTGTGTCTTACTGAAGCTAACTCGAGAGTTTTAGTTTCCCGATGCCTGCCTTCAGAGTGACGCGGAGGGCAGCAGAGTTGACCGACTGCAAGACACTTTCGCCGCCCATGAATCACCCATGTTCGACCGCGTGACCCCACGACGCTCTCTGGGCTTATGCCGTGTATTAACGGCGTCTAAATGTAAACGGGAACTTTACTGTTTCTAAGCTTAGCGTCGGTGAAGCTAGGAAGGTGCCTTCGAGATGACTTTTCGAATAATTCATTTAGCACCATCGCGATTACACGAGATGCCCGGCGCACCGCCGTATGCTCATCGTAAATCGGCAAACGGCGAAGGCTACAGTCCCAGTGGGCCAATCAGCGCGCCAGAAAGAGACACGTCACTACACTTTATCCTACTAGTTGCGCGCTATGGTGTCAAAACCACGGGCGGCCAAGAGAAAAAAGGTCGCCTTTCTACAAACCTTTCATCACGGGATAATCTTCTAGGGGAAGAAAACCGTCTGGGACACACAAAAGAAAAAGGCTCCGGGTATGAGGGGAGTTCCTCCTTTTCGTGTTTTCGAACTACCCGGGTTATACCCTTGTTCCTGTACCAGGGGAGTCACGTGCTTCGCCTCCGTTTGATTTGATTGGCTCCAGGGGGCGTTGGCCTTTTGCCAAGTCACGGTGATACAAAGTATAGTACGAGTCCTACTTTTTTTACGTCTCCAGCAACGTGAAATATTTTCGTAGAATAAAGAATAACGAACACCGAAAAGTAGAAGCAGGGGCACTTTCCACGCGGCGCACTCACCGATGCGGAGTCCCGAGCGGTCGGAGAGGAGGCGTCCGTAGCGGAACCAGGAGATCTGCGGCAGTGGGTTCCCCGTCACGGAGCACTTGAGGGAGACCGCAGAGCCCGGCTTAAGCAGCTGGTCCGGGAACGTCTCCAGAAAGTCCGGGGGATTTTCTGCACACGCCGGAAGAGGAAAAATCAAACATAACGAATCGGAAGCGCCCGAAGCTCCTTTGCGGCCAGAAAAAGAAAACAACAACAACAACCAGGAAATGCTTTCTTCCGAAACCATCTTCCGCCTCCTATTCTCGTATTTTGAGAGCCGTCGTCGCTGTGAATTGAAGATTCGGCGCAGACATTTCTTCTCCCATACACCGTTTCACTTTGTGGCGGAGCGCAGCCGACGCCGCGATCCCATGCAACCAATCGAAACGAAAGGCATCGTGGTTTTTGTGCGCTCGCTGTCACCGCCTAAACTAATCACACACATTTATTGCCGCGTCATTCCTCCGTTTTCTATTTTCTGAACATGATTACTTTAGCAGTTCAGAGCAAATCAACAAAGACAAGGCGCACCAGGACGATGCGATTTTGGCGCCGCTTCGTTTACAAGACCGCATTGTAGTGTGGAGTATAGTTCAGGGACGGGTGCTAGAGTCACGTGACTCTCAGAGAGGGCGCAGCGACGACGCTTGGGGCAGAGCCATATATGTAGAGAGTTTGGCCATTCTTTGGGAGGTATAGGAGACAAATGAGGAGGCGCCATTGGCCGAAAGCGGGCTGGGCGTGTTCCAGGGCGTCTTCAGAAATTCGAATGTGACCAACCAGAAGCCGGAAATAATACCCTGGCGGTGGTCGCAAGAAACAAACCTGATAACTCTATTGGAGTAACGCTCGATGGCTGAAAATATGGTACACGTGATGTTTCAATCACGCTCATCCGAAATGATGGTGGAAGAGTGCGACTAGCGGAACGATGGATATAATCCGTACTCCAAGCGCCGAAAGCCGGGAATCTGCCGTCCGAGCGGTCATACTCTGTCCGCGCAAAACAGAGTTGAGCGGCGCATTCGTTTCTTACATCTTTCTGCGTGATCATGATCAAAACATCACGTGCACCCTATTTTCAACCACGAAGAGTTACTACACCTCACTCTTACGCGCTTATTAGAGCCATATACGAACATAGACCTTTGATCAGAACTGTTTCTCGCTACCACCGCTAGGGGGTTCTTTTCGGCTTCTGGTTGGTCAAGAGAGCATGCCAAGCCCTCTTTCCGAGTCTGGCGCACGCCCTGGCTCTGCCCGCGCCTCCCATTGACCAAACTCTCCACATATATGGCTCTGGCTTGGGGCGTCTTGTCACGTGACGCGTTCGCATCGCTGGACTGGCTGGGACGACCCGCTACGATCCATCGCAGTGTGGAACGGAGCGTTTCTGCCGCGCTACCCACGCTGGCGTTCGGCTGAGCCCCTCACACGCGTTTGGCACGTTAAAAAGGAACTTCGATACGTAGGCGAGCTTTTTTCTGTTCACGCGAACAAGCACGTTCCGCCCCCGGGATCTGCACGCATATCACCGTTCATGCGCGCAAAAACCGGTGTTTTTTGTGTTGTTTATTTTTAAAGCGGAGCGTACGCGCGTGTTTTGTTTCGAAAAGCCGACTCCCACGTCGTGGCGCAACGTCAAAAACGTTGGTCGGTTTCTCAGGGAGCTTTCGCCCTTTATTTGTCGGAGCGCACCGGAGTTCTCTCGGGAGGAAAATAGAGGGGACCTTCCCTGGCAATTAATTTCCAACGTAGTGAGGAAAAACGGAGCATTAAATTAACTGCATCGACAGCTAAATACTTGTATGGTTATCTATAGATATATATCCCTTATCTGTAAAAAAAAAAAAAAAAACGTCAAGAAAAAGAGAATGCAAAATTCGATACGTGGAATGTTACTTCTTACGATTATTAAGCGGCCCTAGTCTGAAAAAAAAAAAAAAAAAAAAAAAAAAAAAAAACTTTAAAGAGCCATTTATCTTTCTAAAACTCACCACTTATTAAAAACAAACCGCAGTCCGTTGGCGAAAGTCAGAATCAGAATTGCACCCACACAATGTTTGTCCTTAGCCTACTCATAATAGGCATACACGACGAGTACTTCTACCTGCGCAATATCTTACTCTGTACATTGCTGGAAGGTACGCACCTCGCCTGAAGTTCTGATCCAAATAGACATTTATATACGTCTCGCGTGATGTGCTAGACAATATTTGACCATCAACACCCCTCAGAATCGAAACGTTCTATGGTGCAACAGCAGTAAATAATACACAAACCAGGCGATGAAGCTGCAAAAAAAGTGTGTTATTTTCTACCTAGCCTGAATTCAAACGAAGACTCAGTGCGCGAAAACGAAGCTGCGTGGTCGTTATCTTATCTAGTACGTGTCAAGGCTAAGAGTTCGCGCTCATAGCGTTGCCTGCGTTATATTTTGGTAGTGTTGACAGATGACCTTGCGCTAGTGGGAGAGCATTTTAGAATCACGCGAGAACCCGTGAAAACCCGCAAATGAGAAAAAACCAAGTGTTCCTCCTACTCTTTGCTCCAGCGAATCTTCTCAGCAACGTTTTTTTTAATGATTTATGTTTCGACCACCAGCCGTAAAGAGTGAATGCTTTTCTCTAAATGACGTGCCCTATGTTTACAATTTCTTTATAAGGCCGACAGTTACGCTAGCACCAGCTGACAAACTGCAAAAGCATTCGAGTTGATACAGGCGTTTTAGGCGGTAAAACATCGCCGTCTACTGAAGTTCACAAGTGAACTAGAGGACGACAAATTGACGTGGACAAGACAAAGCGAGACCGCCGACTGCAGTCCCGTATAACTGCAACAGTTTTCTTTTTTTCTTTCTTTTTCTTTTTTGCGGGCCCCTTTCAAACAAGGCTTCCTTAAACTGAAGGACCAGCGGCCCTCTATTTTAACCGCGGCGACGTAATTAGAAAAAAAAGAAGGAAAAAGTCTATCGCGCCAGTTGACAAGCCAACGTAAAAGCAAAACGAATAGGCCTACTTAGGACGCGAAATTGCGCAGCAACGAAAACGGAGCGTTGCAATTTGCAAGAAAACGGAGCGACTAAATATGGTAACAGCGTGTTTTTAAACAGACGACGGAAGAAAGCCAAAAAGGTATAAACAAACGGGGAGAGGAAGAGAGAACGAGAAAGAGTGAGAGATAGAGAGAAAGAAAGGGGCGAAAAGCATTATTCCGATAACGAGGTTCGTTTCGCGTTTGGTACGCGGTGCGCCGCGACAGCCGACGACGCCGACAAGGACAGCGCTCGTGGATCGAGCTCCGAGCATTTTCGGCGGACGGAATTGATCGCTTCGTCGCAAAACTTCGCACGCTGCGCACGTTTCTGAAACTGCGAACGACGTCGAAATTAGAGATAGCGGGGAGGCTTAGGACGCCACGCTTTTGTGTGTGCGAGTGAGCGTGTTTTAAGCCTCCCGAAGGCCCTGACGCGACGGCGCCCGTTCAGCGGGCCTGTCAGCCCACGACCGCTAGACAAAACGATACGCGGCAAAATTTGCGACGATCTCGAGGACGAGCTTGAGCGCCCGTTATAGGTTTTTGTTCGTTCGTTCGTTTTATTCTGTTCTTTTTATTAAGTTCCGATTTGCGAAACAACGCATCTCCGATGCGTGAAGATCAAATGGCTGTTACTGGATTTCGAAACTCGAGCTGACTGCATTGAACGCCGAGGACTAAATACGAGCGTAGCTCGGATTTCAGTGTCATTTTCGAAAGCACTTTAGAAGACATGACGGAAAATTACAGTCGAACATAATGTTTTCTGTTTTAGAAGAATCTGAATGCAAATGGTCGCCGTCTTCCGAGTTTTAGAGGCGTCGTTTTAGCTTTCATATGTTCGCGCAAAAAAAAAAGCTTTACAGTATCGTGTTACGTTCGCGCGCTTGTGTCGGTCCTTGAAGGTTTGTTCAGACAGAGGCGTTTGACTAGGTTAGGTTAGTTTACGACCGCTTACGCCGGGAGTCCCCAAGACATCCGTGCTTCGAATGAAACGTGGCGCGACAGGTTAAAGTAGTAGCTCTGCATGCCGACATGCGAAACACGAATATCCAGGTGACTGCTCACGTAACGTAAGAAATCGTAAGAAAACGCCCCGGTATGAACCGATTTTTAGCCTATAACGTTCTACGTTTGAGCGCATATAAGCTATGAAAAGAGGAGCGATACCTACAGTAAGAAGCATTGTACCCAGCGTCTCTGTGCCCCGGATTATTTGAAGATAATTTTGAACGAAATCAGAAGTTACATCGAATATGTCTAAGTTTAGATTTGTGATAGAATTAGTATCTGTGAACAAAAAAAGATCAGTAAAATACATTACTTACTGCTTTTTCAACCGACATTTTTTTATTGGTAAGCAATTATAAAACCGGTAATGTGCGTGATTCCTCAGCTACTCTGCTCATTTTTACATTAAAAAGGTACTCCCGCGTTTTCTTTATAATCCTCCATTTGCCTCAAAATTTGCTGAGTATACCGACAAGCATTGCTGAAAAATCAACTGACATATTTGGCCAAAATCAATTTGTTTTGCGAAGTTATTGAATTTAAAAATTTGGTTCCCACCGCGTTTCTTAAAGTGAATGTCTCTACTGGCAAGAATGAAAAACTGACGTTAGGGAAAGGCAGGCGTTCACTCTTTGGACAATTTACTTTGTTACCAATGGATTACAAGCAGTTTCATGATGCCAAATGAGTGATTTGCAAGCTCGCTCTAGCACCCTCGCAGCAGCACGAAACAAATGCCCGGCGTAGTCACTCCCTGAAGAAGTTATGTGGACCCCGAAGTTTTGGGAACCGATTGTTTCTGAGCTTTTGTTTTGAGATATCTTTGTTTCGCATTGTTTTCCCCAACCAGACAGATTTCTGTCGAAGATGTTTACTTTCAAGTTTTTTAGACCGTCCGCTCGATCTGAAAGCCTGCTTTCCCCTGACGTCACGGCACTGAAAAGAGCCGGTACATGTGAATGTTTGGTTTTGGGATGAATTTCAGAAGTAAATTTTACAATAACTATTCTGAATTTCGCGACACTAAGAACATACAAGAAAGGCCGGTGATTCCAAAATTATAGTTAGTTAAGGTATAGTTT